ACAACAAAACTCAAAAAGCACTCTAAGCTCAATTTGTCTAATTATAAAGAGATTTAACCCAAGGAAAATGAATGAGAAGCATCTGTGCTACAGAACCAGTGCCATCAGGGTGTGTCCTGCTCAACATCCCTCGAGTGGAGTGGTGATGCTAGCTTCACCACCACCAAGATCAATAACGCACAGTCGCTAAGACCAGGGAAACTAAGTCTCAAAGAAGTTCCCTACTTCATATGGTCATTGTGCAAGAAACTGGAGTCCTGATGCCAAAGAGAACCGAGTTCTCTCACGCTACCATATGAAAGAGTTTGTGATGGTGATTCTCAAATCCTAGGTCCTAAGCAACCTCAAAGAAATGACTATTGTACTGGGAGGGAATGAGTTTTATCAAATGCCTGAAGAGGTCTAAACTGTTTCTACCCAGTGATCGTGAACTTGCTGAGCAGTGCTTCCTACAAACCCTACTTCTCAGGCAAGAAGCTCTTAGGAAACATACAAGGGAAGTTTCTGGCTTTCCCCAAAGAAAGCCAAAACCATTAGACTATCAAAACCTGAACTAGACAATAATGAGTATTATGAAGTGACCAAACTTTGAAGATGGGGTACACTAAAAGAAACACATATTTTTGGGGAAGGAGATAAAAGAAAGAACTTTTCTATGGTAAAATTATAAATTACATGAAATAATGACATCATAGAAAATGTCTGGGCTTCCACACCTTCCTTCCCTGGTTATTTGAAACGTCAGCCAAATGTTTGCATTTGCACAGTAGCAGATAAGCATAAGCAGCAATATCTGATTCATTTAAGACATCAGTAAAAGGCTTTATGTGTGTAAGAGTACACATTTGAAAAACTACTCTGAGAATCAAGCCTGGTTCTCACACTACTCCACAACTGTCAGGTGAAGAGAATGAATGAGCCTAAAAGCTCTGTGCTCCTCCACCTGTTGGCCTTCATGAGACAGTCTGCAAAGGCCAATCTCCCACCAGAGCATTCTACATAGTTTCCATTTCTGGAGGACTCTGTGGTCCAGAACAGTACAGAAAGGCAGGCTTAGAAAGCCTTGAAACATCTGACTTCTCCATGCCCTGTCAATGAAAAAGAAAACACAACTAAAGGCTTCCAGGGGCATCACACATAAAGATATGAGCACCAAAGCATCAGGCCTCCCAGCCATTACCTTCCACCAGTCTGGAGGGATTTGCCATAAGTAGGGGTGATATTCAGAGAGAATACACAAGTACAGCCAGACTGGGTTTTGATCTGTATATGTTACGAACGGTATCTACTCTGATGGGTGCTGTTGTTGCTGAACTATTCATCTCATTTTGTTTGCATTATCATTCAGAAATGGGAGCTAATTGAAGCACACAGGAGTCAAGCAGGTGATCCACCCAGGGCAGACAGTGGTGGACAGAAAAGTACAGATGAAGTGGACACCAGCTACCATGTTAAGCAGTTGGGAGTTACATGGAACAATATTACTGCCAAATTTTCTAATGTATTTAAAGAAAATGCTAGAGATCCATTTAAAAATGTGTCTTCCTATTTCAGATCTTTGAAGTGCTATATTTGAAACAAAAATGTTTCTTGGGGGCACACCACAGACCTCTGGCTGTCTGCCTGTGACTGCAGTATGTTTTAAGACTATTCAACTATAGAAACTGGGCTTGCTGCCCACACAGCCATAGCATGCCACAGGGTTCTTCAACTTGGCATAACCAATGTATTTGAGGTCTAAAAAAATTTAACTTCACCAATAGCATCAAAAGAGTGGGTAATTGTTTAAGAAATTTATTCTCCAAAATCTCTAAAGTATAATTATGAAAATTTGTTAATGTTCAGTAATGCTAATCGTATCATAATCTGACTCATATTTAAAACAGGAATCAGCATCACACTATATTTTTTCCCTGTCATTTCCTCTTCACTTTTCCATCTCTTGTTGTTAGTCTGGATGTCCAATGTTCCCTCAAAGCCCATATGTTCAAACTTTGGTCCCCAGCCCATAAGACAAGAGGTGGCTGACCGGACCTTCAGGAAGGAGAACCTAGTGGAAGGAAGTGAGGATAGTAGGGGGGTGATATTGAAAGGAACATTGGGATCCTGGGCCCTCCTGTCTCTCTCTTCGCTTCACACACTCAGTGAAGTCAACAGGCCTTTTCTGCCATGCACTCCTACCTTTAGTCAAATGGAACAAGGACAAGTGACCATGGACTGAGACCATGAAGCAAAAATAAAACCTTTTTCTGCTTTGAGTCTCTTATGGTGTGTGTTTGCTACAGTGTTGGCATGTTGACTAACATGCCAAGCTTTTCTTCATTTGAGAGGTAGGATTAGAGGATTTTCACAGTATAATTTACATGTAATATGCTTAGCTCAGTGCGGCTTTGGAGTAAAGACTCCAAAGCCAAGCATTTCCCTCTACTGTGAATATTATTTCGTTGGCCCATTCCTCACAGAGCTGATTTGCAAGCGGGAAAACTAAAGACTCTGACCACCTTACTGTTACTAACCCTGTATATGTAAGCACTCCTGTCCCAACCCTTCTCTTAACCATGCTTTAACTATCCACCAGCAACTTCAAATCCTCTTGGACAGCTCAGGACCTTTCTCATTCCACCACAGAGAAAAAGGAAGTGACGTCATTTACAAACAAGGAAATGGGCTCCATCCGTCTCTTTCCCCTAGGCATGAGATGCACTTTTCCACTTTGTTTCTTTGTTAAATTAACTCATTCCCTCTTCCAAACCATGCATATCAGTGTGAATGTGTGTGATGTGAATCTGTACACTAGCTATTTGCAATGACTTCAGGTAAAACCCAACATAGCATCTCACCTTTTTTTCCTTTTTATGACTTGCTTTCTTCACATTTATTTATTCATATACTATTTTGTGGGTGAGTGGGTGGGTGTGCACACAAATATGCACACATGTCCTCATGCTATAGCATGCCTGTGAAGATCAGAGGACAACACATAGGAGTCCCATTTCTCTTTCTACCATGTGGGCCCTGAGGATTGAACCAGGTAACTACTTGGTGACCCCTGAGCTACCTTGCCAACCCTTCTACTGCATTTGAAAACATACTATAGAAAATTGAAAGGAGGAACTTATGCAAATCTAATAAGTAGTTAGTAAACAAAATATACAAGGAATGCAGATAACTCCTAAGAGGAAAACAAGGAGGTTTTAAAATGAACAAGGAAAGGAGCAGCTATTTCCCAAAGGTACACATAAAATGGCCAGCAGGGATATGGAAATATGCTCAGCATCACTAATTATCAGGGAAATGCAAATTAAAACTGCAGTGGGGTATCCTTTCTCACTTGTTCTAATGGCTATTACTAAAAAAGATGGAGGGCAACAAATGCTGGCCAGGACATGGTGAAGGGAGCCATTAACTCCTTTCCTGGGAAAGTAAGCTAGTAAAGTCATTAAAAACTGAACCACTGTATAAATGAGCAGCTCTGCTACTATATATGTTCACAAGGAAGCTACAGCTGCAGTCCTGTGCTCCCTACAACACTGTTCACAAAAGGGAAGATATAGAATCAATCTGCATGTTTGTAAAAGAATGGAAGGAATAAAGAATATGCATAATACAATGGAATATTATTCAGCCAAAAAAGAAATCCTGTCATTTTCAGTAATATGCATGAAGCTGAAAGACGTTAAGAAAAATAAACCAGGCACAGAAAGATAAACATTGTGTGATCTCACTTATAGGTTGGATTTAAGACAGTGAATTCACAAAAACAGAGTCAAATGATGGCTACTAGGGGCTGGGGGTGATAGGTAGGGAAATAATTGAGGAGAGGTTGATCAAAGGACATAAAATTTCAGTTAGAGATGAGAAGTTGAAGTACTTGCTTGTAGTGGCCATTCTAGCAGCAATGTATTACCTACCTCAACACTGCTAACAGACTGCAAGTCTACTTACTAAAAATCAGTTAAGTATATGAGGTAATACATTTGTAAATGAAGTTCAGTCATGCAACAAAGTATGATATTCCAAAACATGTTGTGCACCATAAATCATATTCAGCTCCTATGTGTCAACAAAAATAAAATGAATAGGAATATTTGATCCACAAATTCACTGAAGTAGCACATTTATAAGTAAACTCAATTTATTCACTCCAGAATGCACACTATTTCCAAACATGCCAGGTACTATAAATTATAATTTCTATCTGTCAATAACATTTAAAAGGAAGGATATTTTAGCCACAAACTGATAAAAGTGGCAAATAATGAGTTCATATTTAAGGGAGTAGGCGTTTTATTTAAAATTTGCCACTATTCCTGGATAATGCATGTGGCTTACCCCACCCACGAATAACCTCGACTTGAGGGCCGATTCACTATCCAGTGGCTTGAAATTAAGACTCTGAACTTCCTGCCATATGCCCTGTAAGCAAACAACAAACCTGGAGACTGACAATTCAATGGTAAACAGAGGAGGACCCACTGGCACCTGTCAGCACGCCCTGAGGACACAGGGTGACTCAGCACACTCTTCATCTGAATGATATCATGCCCCAGGGAGGAGCTAAGGGGCACACAGAGGACGGAGCGGGACAGAAATCAACTCCAGGGTGTATAGCAACATCAAGTTTTAAAATACTTCCCGAGATCAGTGGAAGTCTCAATACTCTCTTCTTTCCTGATCTAAAAATACAGAATCACTCTTGCCAAAGCCAAAAGCATTTCCAGTGATTTCTTTCAATGTTAGAAACCAGAGTTTATTAAACACCGCATCCAAGGCTTTCATTCCAGAATAAGGTTGATGCCCACTGGCAGCTGTGAGCTGCAGATGAAATCTAGTTAGATGCTCCCCACTAAGAGGAATATTTACTTCACTTGGTGCCCACTGGCAGCCGGGAGCTGCAGCTGCTATCGAGTTAAATACTCCCCACACTAGAGGAATATTTATTCAGCACACAAGAAAAATAACCATCAGAAGGCCAGTTCAGTAGAATCAAAGAGATATACCTGCAGGTTTTCGATTTCTTCTTTGTGCTCCCTCTTCAGATGTAAGATAGCAGCCTGGTATTCTGGAAGATCACAAGAGAAGCCAGTTACAAAGGAACACAAAATGAGTCAGAAACTTCAAAGGCACATCACCTGAATCCCAGCCGGCAGCCACCCTCCAAATAACCAAAATAAAGACGTCACATCACGTGTGGACAGGAAGGAGATCTGTTAGGCATCGTGTCCAGACACGGTCAGGACTGGGGTACAAGGGGATTCCTTCCCTTCAATACAGCCTGGATCATGGAAAGTGCCAAATTAAGCAACCAGGGCAGGGGTAAAAAGAGAAGAGGCATGTGAGTGAGTGCCAGATAAAGAATGGGTCAGGTGTCGGTCTTCAAGGAGCTGAAAGTTCATGCCCCATGGCGAACACCACAGATGTGTTAAGGGAGATTATAAAAGAAACTTTCTATATGAGATCACAGATCTCTATTTTTAACTGTTTAAAAAAGAAAACGAGAGAGAGAGAGAGAGAGAGAGAGAGAGAACAAAACACGAATGAATGCAAGCCTTTTCTAGTCTCTTGATCAACCAAGAAAGCCAAGACCATTTGAAGGAGAGATTCTTGGGAGAATGGAGGCTGAAAGTGGGACAAAAATAAGTTTCTAGTCCACTTTTTATCTGAATGACATTTATCCCAGAAATACGACCCCAGTGTACACAGTAACTGCAGTCAGATACTAAAACTACCATCCCACGAGCTGAGCCAAAAGCACAGGAATCACCTCTACTTCCAGGAGAACAGCTAATGTGCATAGGACCACAGAACCATTTGTGCTAGAGAGAACTACAAAGCAAAATGCTGTGACCATGGACTTTTGTGGGACAAACCGGCTCTTTACAAATGTGTTCACGGTCACAGGCCTGTACTGCAAGAGACAGACTATTCCTCTAATTTGGTATCATTAGGTAGGCAGGCAAGCTGGTGCTCCAATTCAAAAGTGAATGAGGAAAGTCTGCAGTAAAGTCCCACCAGGAGAGGAGCTTGGCTGTTGAGGACTGTGGCTAGCCACACTGCAGCCCTGTGAGGACTGAGCTCCAGCGGTAATGCTGTGGACTCTCTTTCTATACCACGCCAAAGATCAAACCACTTGTAGCTATCCCCAACAAGCACTGCTATAATCTGGGACACCACCATCTTTCCAATACCCTACATTCTCCTTCCCAGAGGCTGCCTCGTTCCCCTCTTACCAGCATAAAGAGTCTCCTCCATGACAGTATGAGCCATCTATTAAAGACATGACCCAGACCGTATCTCACTCCTGGCTTTCCACAGAACTTGGACTCCAGACTCCAACCTGTAGGGGCCAGGGAGGTGGCTCCATGGTGAAAGTGCTTTTTGCACAAGCATGAAAATTGAGTTTAGATACCCAGCACCCAAATATAAGCTGGGTTTGGCAGCATGCATCTGCAACCAAAGAGCTGGGTCAGAGCAAGGAGACAGGTGGAGTTCAGGGGTTCACTAGCCAGACAGTCTCACTGAAATAGAAAAGTCTAGTTCAATGAGAGGTCCTGTCCTAAAAAATATGGTTGAGATCAACTGAGAAAACACCAGACATCAAACTTGTGTGCCTCTACCCCTACCACACAAGTATGGACAATGGCACCTAGACACATGAGAACACAGGTACACACACACACACACACACACGCATGCCCACACCCCAAGCCCAAAGGCTTCTTGTGATCTGTTTCCTCTCATCTCATGTTACTCCTTCTACTAGCCCATTACATTCCAGGCATGCTGGCTTCTTGCCATCTCTTAAATTTATCAAATGCTTTTCTAATGGACTTTAAGGTAGAGTCCCAACCTATGTGACAATAAATATACGAACCCAGTCAACCCAATATTCTATGAAGCAGTCAAAGGAAACCAGTTCATTCAACCTTCTTGAAAAGCATCTACCTGCCTCTGAACAGAAATCACATAGACCATCCTATAAATTTATTCATGTTATATAAAATGTGTCAGTAAGGGTGTGACATATAGAATTATGACTAATTTACTAACAAATTGACAAAAGAGGCCACTGCAAAACTAACACCCAGAAAAGCATGATCTATCTCCTCCTTAAGCAAATATTTTGGATAAGCATACCACCATTACAGGTAGACAGAAAGCACACCCTTATGGCAGTAAAAGTAATAAAAGGAAATGCAGCCTTTATTAATGGGATATTCATTTTAAGACTTCAGAAGGTAACAGGATGGAATCCAAAGGTTCCTCATAGGGCTGGCAAGATTGCTCAGTAGATAGAGGTGCTTATCACCAAGCCTGACAACCTGAACTTGATCCCCAGAACCTACATAGTGAAAGGAAAGAACTGACTTCTGCAAGTTGGTTTCTGACCTCCACATATGCATTGAGGCATTCTCTCTCTCTCTCTCTCTCTCTCTCTCTCTCTCTCTCTCTCTCTCTCTCTCTCTCTCTCACACACACACACACACACACACACACACACACACACACACACTACATTAAATCTAATAAATTTAAGTAAACATTCCCAAATAATCCTGAATCAAAGCTAGGTTGGCAGTTTCACATGTGCCTTATGGGAAGCAACCCTCTGCACTTCAGTTTTGATTTGAAAATGGCTTAGAGTAGCTTGGGGCACATTCTCAGGGAGGATGATGAGACAGAGATGTGAAGTACTAGACCAAGGACTGGCATTAATTAAGAAGAAAACTTAACCCTAGTATTTGGTGGCTGAGATTTTGTTCTCGTGGGACAGAGGAATAGAGGGCTTGAATCTAAGGACTTGAAAGTGGCAAATCCCTCTGCCCTCTGCAGTCACCAGAACCTCGATGAAAACTCAGACATTAATGAAAATATTTTATATTTTGCACCAAAAAAGAAGCCCAAGATATTCTTTCTTTTTCTTTTAAGAACATCGTATATGAAAGACAGAAAACACAGAATCTCCTTAGAGGCGGAATCCAGTATTCTGGGAAATGATATACAAGAACTTCCTTCCACAGAGTTCATTCTAACCCAGCACTTAATCGAACTCGGGGCTTCACTTGGTGGCTTCCTGACCTGCTCACAGCAACGAAACATCTTTTTCTGCCAAGTGTCTGGCCTGGGTCTCTAACTTGCCAAGGGCAGAATCAGAGACAACTCCACTAACACTGAAGGTACAGGTCTGCCATAGCTGTTATCTACAGCTGGCCATACACATTTATCTCAGGAAATACAAGACCGGTCTTGTTCTTCGATAGCACTGGCCTCAGGAACAGATCTAAGCACACACTACAGACTTCTAAGAAGACCCTATCATATCTAAGCCCACGTGGCAGAGGAGGAACCTGAGATGTTCAGGTTGAACAGCCTTCCCGAAGCCATGAGCAATAAATGCCAATGACAACATTTAGCCCCAGAGAACCCGTGCCATTTAGCCTGGGGACTGTTGGCTTGGTATAGCTCTTGTTCCTTCAGTTGGATAAACATGAAGTACATACAAACTCAGAATCCCTGGAAACTTCAAGGTTGCTCGCTTTGTCCAAACACTGAACTCACTCAAAAGTCTGGATATTTTCTATAAGTTGTTAAAAGAGAGATTATGTCAGGGCTCAGCAATCAAGAGCACTAGCTGCTCTTCCAGAGGATCCAGGTTACATTCCCAGAACCCATATGGTGGTTCACAATCATCTGTAACTCCAGTGTCAGAGAATCCCATGCCCTAATCTGGCCTCTGCAGGCACCAGGCATGCATGTGGTTCGAATATATACACAGGAGGAAAAAAAAACCCACCTATATACATAACACAATTTTTAAAGTTTAAAAATTAATTAATTAATTAAAGGGAGATCTCATCTATTTTTAATCCCAAGGTTTGAGGAAAAGGAGTGTCAAAGTGAACACTGTAAGGTCTAATGTCTAGTAATATCAAGGATTGAGGTTAGGTTCTGTCCATTTTCTCCAGGTTTCCAGGCTAGTAGTCACAGTTCATCGTTAAATCTGATTTTACTTACCCTCTCACATTGCTTTAGCTAGGGTTTCTACTGCTGTGATGAAACACCACAATCAAAAGCAAGTTGGGGAGGAAAGGGTTTATTTGGCTTCCACTTCTACCACTGGAGGAAGTCAGGACAGGAACTCAAGTAGGGCAGGAACGTGGAGACAGGAACTGATGCAGAGGCCATGGATGGAAGCTGCTTACTGGCTTGCTTCCCATGGCTTGTTCAGTCTGCTTTCTTATAGAACCCAAGACCACCAGCCCAGGGATGGCACCACCCACTATGGGCTGGGTCCTCCCCCACTGATCACTAATTGAGAAAATGCCTTACAGCTGGATCTCATGGAGGCATCGCCTCAACAGACGGTCCTTCCTCTCTGATGACTCTAGCTTGTGTCAAGTTGACACACAAAACCACACACACACACACACACACACACACACACACACACACACACACAGATCCTAGACTTCTCCCCCATCCTCTCCTCTCTACTCTTCCCTTCCCCCACCCACCCCCATTAAGAAATCTTCTGATTAATTCACTATTGAGAGTCACCTGGATATCTTTCTGTCTAGGAATTCTGGTTTGCCCCACTTATCCTCCTTTTGGCTTTTCCCACTGCCTCCCATTTTTACATTTTAAAATTTATCCTTCGGTCTTCAAGGGCAAGGTCTTCCTCTGAGTTTTACTTGAACAATACTCAACTGGTGCTTCTGAAGCTAAGCATGTACCACCCACACTATTTAGATGTGCACATCCTTACTTCTATGATGCATCTGCTTACTGACTTGGAAACTGGAAGATGCTACAGAAAGTAACTAAGTGTCATGATAAACAGGTAAAGTCTGGGTGCTACTGCCTTAAGACAAGGTTCATTTAATTTAAGAAAAACAAGTAAATTAAGAAATAAGTGAAAATAATAGTAAAAATGTTGCAAATATGTGTCAAAGATAAAGGAATTGAGAACATAAGGAATGGCAGGATATGCTAAGAACACAAGTCTCCAGTGATCTCAGGAGCAGATGAAAATGTTCAGTCATATAAAGCAAACAAATACAA